GTCGGAAGGGAATGATGCCAGCGGTTGCAATGCAGTCGATCACACTCAAATGCAAATGTGTGAACCAGCTGAGAGAGGTTCATTAACTGAGAAGCTCGGGTACCTATGTCTTCATCCTTACCCGCTCTTTTTTTTTTTTTTTTTCCCCAAGGTGTGTTTGAGAGTGGAGACCTGTTTTGAACAACAAAACAAGGACTGATACAAGGAAAAGGGAAGCAATAGGACACCTATGTCAGAGTGTGCAAGTGATTGCAGTGACATGAAAATCATATGCTGGAGCAGCAGTGTTGTTGAAGTTTCTGCATTATGTCAACCTAGCCAGCAGCTCTTCATACATTAGACCAAGTTAATGCTTCTTTGCTCTTCGTTTGTTTTGCCTCCTTCCTCAATTTATGCATTTTCCACCGAGACACGACGTATACACCAAACGAGAACGAGCACTCGGTGTGCTTCGCCAGCTTGCTCGAAGCAACAAGCATGAAATGAGCACACTAACGACAGGGTTACCAGTCTTATGTGCTAGTGTTCTGTGTGCTTCCGATAACAATGGCTTTAGCTTACTAGAATGGACAGTTGGGTCAGTTGGTATGAATTCATGATGTAAAAACAGCACAAAAATACAAGGACAAAGGGGACTCCCCTTTGTCCTTGTATTTTTGTTGATAGTTTGCGCCTTGTCCTGCGTGTTCTCGGAGAACACACAGGACAAGGCGCAAACTATCAACTTCCTTATTTCGAAAAAGAAAAGCTCGTGTTTATGCGTGCCCACGTGAACACCATTGCGTTTTTAAAAAGAAAGGTGATAGCACCTTGTCATGTGTGTTCTCTCTTTGTCCTTGTATTTTCTCGCTGTTTTTACATGATGAATGTCTACCATCTTGAGCAAGCCTGCCCTGCTTTCTTGAAGCTTTAAAAAAAGATCTACATAATATGACACCCTCAATTAAAACACTGATTAGTAAAGTCCCGTATGAACGCCCGCCCCCGAGAGGACGCCCATCTCGTTTTCTGGGCTGAATATTCAAACATCGAAATTCCGAAATATCTATCCTCCAATTACCACCGGATATCGATCACGCGATGTCGGACGGGAGTCGCATCAACCGCGACAAGCGTGTTCGCCGCGAGACACTGATCTCTGAAGCTAACAGTACTGAAAAATAGTTTCATTTTTTACACCGATCGCAATACAAATTTCGACTCAGCTGCATAAAAGTCTCAGGATTTTGTGCGGTCACGTGTCTACTGGTCAAAATTGTACAACATGGCGGCAGTAAGGTGGGGGTAAAGCATGAAACACCTGAGCGGTGAAGCGGCGCCGCTAGGCGCGTCACAGGCGCACCGCGCAGCTTAATCTGTGTTGACCAGATCCGAGCGACGCCGCGCGAAAGTGACGTAGAGACGCCAGCACCGGTTGCTATGATACTGCCGCGCGACGCCCGTTTTCATCGCTCATGTGTCCCCTGCTTAAGCCCTTCTACCTCGTTGGAACCATCGCAGTCTTTGAAAAACTTGCTCACGCATTCCCCAGCGCTCCCCAAAACGAGAAAGCAGGTTCCGTGAACGGAGAACCGGATACGCATCGTCGAGTGGAGCGAGCGAACACATGAGCCTCCTCTCTTTTCTTGGCTTCTGATTGGTCGAACACAACGCGCGGCCGCAACTGCCATGTCCAAAGTTGAGCCGGTCTCTACTCCCGTGCGCCGCGATGCGAGGGGTTGCGCAACGGCGCGTATCTACCGCAAGCAAACGCTTCTGGCCGCAAGGATGCCGCAACGCACTCAAACTTGCTCAAACGCGAATCTGCTGCGTCCGCAATCTGCGGTCTCCGTTCCCGTGACACGCAGACATGCAAATTCATAACTCCTTCCCGCGTTTCTTTATTTTTTTTCCCCCGGCGATCTGCGCGCGATATTGGTTTCCGTGATGCGCGAGTTTGTAGCGGTTTCCCGTGTTTATCGCACAGTTACACGCCAATCTGCTGCGTCCTCAATCCGCGGTATTAGTTCCCGCGATCTGCACGCGCGATCCTGTGGCACCCGAGTTTGTAGCGGGTTCTTGCGTGTAGGAACACTGACACCCCCAATTTTTAGAGCGCAGCTCTTAGGGGCCCGTTTCCGGCTTGAGCAGCGTCGCCGTCGCCGTCGGCGTAACCGCGCGGTGCATTATGGGAAATGTCCCATAATGCACCGCGCGAGCCTTTCCCCCGAGGTCACGTCACTCCCCTGAGGCCACGTGATCCCCTCCCCGAGGTCACGTGACCCCCCTCCCCTGGAGTCACGTGACCCCCGATGACGTCATCAGAGACGTCACTGATGACGTCACCGGCATCCACATCGTCATCATCACTGATGACGTCATCAGTGACGTCGTCACCGGCATCCGCATCGTCATCATCACTGATGGCGTCATCGCCATTGATGACGTCATCAGTGACGTCATCGGCATCGTCACGTGACTCCCAAGGTCACGTGACCCCCCTCCCCCGGAGTCACGTGACTCCCGATGACGTCATCAGAGACGTCACTGATGACGTCACCGGCATCCGCATCGTCATCATCACTGACGACGTCATCAGTGACGTCGTCACCGGCATCCGCATCGTCATCACTGATGACGTCATCGGCATCGTCACGTGACCCCCAAGGTCACGTGATCCCCCCCAGTACCCTTCCCTCCTCCTCCTCAAGGGCTGCGCTCTAATTCGGCGTTACAGGGAGTTGTAAACGGCTTTGACTTTTTTTTAAATTTTTGTCAGGTGATTTATTATGGTGTCAGAACCCAATCAATATATTTCTACAGTGTCACGTATATTATTAATAACCCCCCCCCCCCAAAAAAAAAATAAATAAATAAAAATAACTCAATTGCTCGAAACCGAAACTGGACCGGGGAGGAAGAAATATAGAGCAGAAAGACGCCGGAATTCACGTGGCTGTGCTTTTTTTTTTCTTTGAGTCAACGTATTAGCAGCTTTTTAGAAGCCACGAGAAAGGACTATCATATATTTTGTCCATTTTTAGCATTGAGTGTGTGCCCTCAATGACCCACGACTTCGATTTTCTTTGGTGGTTGTGTCTAAACCATAAAAAACGGCACGTGACCACGGAGAAGAGAGTGAGCGCGACTCAAACCGGCCAGTTCTCGATCGGCGGTTTTCGAACTCAAACCGGCCAGTTCTCGATCGGCGGAAAGAAAACGAATTTCGAGCCGCAAATTGTGTTCTGGGTAATTGGGCTCTCGTATGTCATTAAAAAAAGAAAAAAGAAAAAAGAAAAACTTCGGCGAGCATAAATACCCTGTCAGTGTCCCTTTAACGTACTGTGAAGAGCGAATGTGCTGTGTCTGCGGTAATCATTCCTGTGACAGGGGATCTCGTAGCGAATTCCCGCGTACTTATCGGGGAACGCGAATTTGCCGAATCCGCGACCTGTAATAGCGGGGGGGGGGGGGGGGGGGGGTGCTAAGGTGCCATAGCAAATTTCAGGTTACAAAATCGCCACGTTAACATGCACTCGTCTTCTCGTACAACCAACAGATGTTAACACACAATCAGACCGTCTCGAAAGATGCACGTGCTCATTCCCGTACAATGGTAGCACCTTACCTCACCGACCACCGACCAAACCAGCCGGAAGAAAACCTGATCAAGAAACATGACATGAACAGAACAGAGGAAACATTAAACTGCAAGCTTCTCCACCTTGCCGCCACTCTGAACAGCAAAACACCTAAATTACTAAGAAACAGATAGGGAGCAAGAACCCCAAGTGCAGAGCAAAAAATAAAGTAGCAAGTAACGTGTAAAAAAAACAAAAAAAAACTTTCAGCCTTTCCACTCTGGTGAAGAAGGAAGACCAGCGGAGCTGTACAATGGAACGTAATGGCCGGCCGCTAGTCGGCAAGCCAGAGTGGAAAGGCTGTCGCCATCTATGAGCGACGGCGGCAACCAGATACGTGGTTTGCCGCCGTCGCTCATAGATGGCGGTAGGTGTCCAGAGTTCGGTGTCTTCGTTCCTTTGCGGGGGACACGATCCTGGGGAAACTAGCCCTTAACAACTCAGCTGTTAAAAAAAAAAAAAAAAAAAAAAAAAAGCAAGCCAGATGGGAGAAGAAATGCAAGCTCGTTTTCTGTGGTTTAGGATTTTACTAACCTCACTGTCTTACGGTAGTAAACCTATAAGAAATATTTTATTGCTAAGTGACTTGGCGTGCCAGAAATGCATCATCCTAGATTCTGTTCAAAGCAATCAAGAATTGAAGTCCTGCTTATTTCTCAAGTTCACGAAAAATTTAATATGCCAAGATTGAAAATGATTTCATACTGCATATAGATCTAATACAGTCACATGAGTAGAAATATATTTTGTTTTCTGCCCCATGTCTGCATAAGATAAATGAAGCTAACAAAAAGTACGGAATAATCAGCTTTGTGGTATCCCGGTACAGCAAGGAATGTTTCTTCTTTCGCTTTCATATGTCCGTGGGAATTGGTAGAGTGTAGGGCAAACAAAGTTTTGATTTCGTGTTTTCATAAAAAAAAAGGGGGCACAGACATTATTTTTGAGTATTTTTATCTGTTTCGTTATTGTCTGCCTTAAGTTAGGCTATTACTTGGACAAGGTCATAATCCTCTTTACCAGACCCAAGGTTCGGTAGAGCCTGTTTGAGTACTGGGCGACAAGTCCGCCTGGGGCTGTCGCCGTCGTTCCCTGCACGACTGTCTGGGTCTCGCATGTTGTTTGGCAGTTAGACGTTGTCACCAGCCTCGTACGCCTACACACAAAATGGCCATGTATAGTAAACCGTGTAAGGAGACTCGATCCCTGCTGCCTCTTTGTGATCTATCTGCCATTTCTTTCCCGGTCTCGGGGCTTTTTTCCACCGAGTCAAGCCCCAAGCAAGTAGTGCAGAGTTCCCAGAAGCTCTAAGGAAGGCATTAAGAGCAGAAAGAGAATGCCAGGGAAGTGAGACTGCGCTGCAGCCAGGCATTTACTCACCGCCCAAAGCGCACAGACTTTTTCCGTTTGCCGTCCCACTCGTCCGAAGTCATTGAGGTGACCTGTGAGGATGTCGAGGTCGGCCGCTGGGTCATCAGGGTGCTCGGCAGTGGAGGCAAAATGGGAGGGGGCATGATGTTTCCCGTGGGCACCGTCCCCAGCTGGATGAAGAGGTTGCGGTTGTTGAGCACGTCCAGGACAGTCAACGCTGCCTCCTGCCGCGTCGTGATGGGCCAGCCATTGCCTTCCACAAACCGGAATTCTGGCCGGGCTGTCTTAGGGTCGTGCAGCTGGAAACGGAACCGGTCAGAAAGGGCTGTCAGCGAGCTTGGACTAGCAAAGGCAACGCTTGCAGAGAGTACCTGCTCAATGACGGCATCTCGGAACTGCCTCAAGATGGCGTTGTAGTCGCTGAAGACGAAACCAAGGGAGTTTCCTCCAGTTGACAGCACCCCTATCCTGGGTTTTTCTTTTAAGGGGAGAGAAACGGACAGCGATAAGAGTGTTTGGATTACATTTTGCACCGTATCGAGAGTTACTGGAGATAAAGGCTAATACAGATATGCCACTGTCTGGAAATTTAGGTTTAATAGACAAATAAAAGAAAAGGAACATTAGTGAGATTTAGTGTCGCGTATACGAGCGAACGCAAGCACTGCGAATGCGTTAGCGTTGCGTGCTCCACACTGCATATGCGCGGAGCCCAAACTGCGGTCTTGAATTGGCGCATGGCGACGACGCGCATGTGCAGCGTGGAGAACGCAACGTAAACGCACGGCGCTTGCGTTTGCTCAGATACGCCATACTCAAATAATATCATTTCAAATTTCTGCGTTACAACATAGCTTGTGTATTAGTGACATTGTGATACATACACAGGCTGTTTGGTTTTAATTGGGACAGGTTTCTTTTAGAAAAGAGGGTTCCCGCTACATGGATATTAGAGAGTTTTAGTAAATCGTTCTGATACCCCCGATAACGATACGATGCATGCACAAAGGCGGCGGCGCAGTATCGGGTATCGTTATCGGAGTCATCGGAACATTCTACTAAAATTACTGTCTTCACTCTGTTTATTGGGCTCGGCGGACATTAAGTGGGGTTTTAACTCACAATCAACTGGCTAATTAACGGCTACTTAAATTTCCAATTAATGATTGTATGGGACATTTTGCACTTGCACCTTTGAAGACAGTCATTATTAGCGGGCGAATCAATTTAAACAATTCGTGAAAAGGTAACGAACTTCAAAATATTTATCAGTCATTTTAAGACTTCCTGTCAATTCCAAAACTGGATGCACAAGTAGCGCCGCATGGCCTGCTTAGTGCTTACAATGATGCACATAAAAGGGGCATACTCGTGACGGGCATCGTTAACTCGGCAGCGGGGCATTACCACTCCCGTCAACAACATGCTATCAAAATAACGAAGAGGTTTGCATCCACGCCACTTTTCTACGCATCGTTGCGGGAAGACCTTGCGGCGCTCCTTCTACACTCAGTTTCAAAACCAGACGGCAAAAAGATGAAAAATGGAACTATGAATATATCAAAGCCCGTTGCTTTTTCTCTAAATGTGCGAATTGGTTTAGCCTCTAATAAGCATTTTCAATACTGCAATTACAAATGGAACAATGAACCATTAATTAAAAGTTAATGAACAAATCTTAGTTAATTAGCCAATTGATGGTGATGGTTCTTCCCCGTCTAACATTCACTGAGCCTGATCAACTCGGAGTTAAAGGGATACTGAATCGAAACTTGAAGAAATAAGTCGAATAGGATCAGCTAAACCTGTAAGTGATAATCGCATGCTTGTATTTCAGGCCCCGGATGGCTATATTTTTTGTTCTAAATGCCGGGAGTTTGGCGAGTTTTCATTGTTTGTTTACTCTGTCAAGGAGCCACACATGTGCTCGTCAGCAATGTTTGTTGCGGGGGTTGCCTAAAGGGATACTACAACAAAATTTCGGCGCTTATTTCTCGGTCTATTAGTGTTCAATGGAGCACTATCACATCAGACACACCTATCTCTTGTTGAAAAAGACACGAAAAGGAATTTTAAAACAAATTAAACGATTAGCAAAGAGCACCCGCTGGATGTCGCTCACGCCTCGTTTGTAATGCCCATCTAGGAGCCTTGACAGGTAGTGACGGTAGCTGTCTCGCCTCCGGCTACGACGAGAGAAGAGCTGAAGGAGGAACTCCCCTCTCCCCGAGACGATCTCTTTTGTTTGTCCCAGAACTCGCTACTGTCTCTCTACAAGATTATAGAAGATTAACCCGTCACTAAAAATTTGTACAGACAGCTTTGGGGTTACTTGCGGTGGCCCAATCGCTGGTGTGCTTCGGCTGCTTTCAGCGGATGCTACGAGCCATCAGAGCCTATCCAAGGCCGTGTGAATGTCACGTGACCTTGGAGAGGGGGCACAGCGACTCGCGGAAAGCGTATCACGGGCTACGCCCACACAGCGAGATTGGCTGGAATAGCTCGCAGCGTCCGCTGCGTCCGGACGTAAAGTCCCGAGACAATCTACGTCACGATTGCGGCGGATGTGTGCTATCCGCTGGCTGCTCTCCGAGCGTTTGCCAGAGTGGGCCGTTTATAACGAAAAATGCAGTCATCTGACTCAAAATACAAACGTGCGATTGTCATCTATACGGATATAGGGGGCCATATACAGCCTATTTGTGAACACGACGGGTATATTTCAAATTTCGTTGAAGTATCCCTTTAAAGAGATACTGAACCAAAATTTCGACCTTACAAAACAGGGCTGGTGCGATAGGCGAGACGCTGCAGAATACAAAAACACCACTCATACAGCGTTATCTCTTATGGATGGCCGTATTTTTGGAAAAAAAAGTGCGCAATTGAACAAGGCCGACGAGACAAGTGACGTCACGATTCTTATTCCCTCTCCTGCTCACTTCGTCCCGTCGAGCTGGTGAACCGAAGCAAGGAGAGAAGCGAGGCCGCTTCCCTTCATTCTCAACTGTTCCAGGAGGATATTGACGTCAGAGTCCTCGCTTGATCGCGCCCTTCTTTTCAAAAAAAAAAAAAAAAATACGGCCATCCGTTTGAGATATTAATGTGTGAATGAGATTTTGGAGTTCGTAGCGTCCCGTTCAACGCTTCTATGGTCTTATTTTGCGAAATCCAAATTTCGGTTCAGTATACCTTTAACCGCGCTTCCGCCACTGCTCTGCTGGTTCAATCTTCCTCTGCTGAGCGTCACGTCAGCATCGCGTTGCGATTCTCTATAGCCCAGCGGATCGTAAAATCGGTTATAAAAGATCGTTCCCGAAGCGGTTACCAGCAGCGCGGTGCCAGTAAGGTTCCGCTCCAGGTGTGAACAGGTATTTACGTGGCTCTTGCGGACACTCTTGTAGTTTAAACGTATTTTCCCGGACGTCTGCTCCCTCCCGCATCCTTGAAGCCACAAAAAACGCCACGGCGATTTGTTTACATGTACGCCGCTTTGCAGAGCCGTGCGGGCCGTCCCCTTTTAGCAACCATGGTAGTTATGTTAACTTCGTAGCGATTGAGATCGTAGCAGTCGACCAAGGTGGCTATCCCGTCATCGGTAGAGCTGGGCATTTGGGCCGGTTTAAATCAAGATTACATCGCACAAACACAATCCCTAGACATGCGTTGCCGGAAAGACCACCCGAAACTGAAACCAATGGTGGCCAACTTTGCCATGACTTTCTTCACCAAAGCGCCTCAGTGCTACGTTCAGGTCTAAGTAATTTCTATGAGTGAGCGTACTTCGCTTTGTGGCGCTGCTCTTACTGACATGATGACGTCACGACATTCCATCAAAGCTTCACAGACATCCACCAGGTGGCTTTTGGTTATCGTTTAATTCAGTTTAAAATATCTTTTCTTGCGTTTTCCTACGAAATATTGGTATTGGTGAAGTCCTACTTTAACTCGCTTCATGTTGACGCAAAGAAATAAGCTCCGAAATCTGGTTTCCATACCCCTTTAATACGCTATGCATGTAGCGGTCACCTCTTTCAAGTTTAATCTATACGAATTAAAAACAAACACCTGCCTACTTTGCGGTTAGTCTTGTGTATTGCGGCCACTTTTACAACCATTTAAATGTTGAAAACCAAATCAAACAGGATTGCCCTTCTAAGACAAATTCGGGGAAGCCTGGTCAGCATGGCTAGAAATCACATGAAACTTGATGCCCACTTTGCTGAGCAAATAGCAAAGTGGGACAGGCAAAAATACTAGATACGCATGGAAAGAATAATTGAAATATTAACTATTAAATTACAAGTTTTTTATGTTCTCCAATCCTTCATTAGCACAATTAAAATAAATTTGTACTGCAAAAGTAAAACATTCAACAGTGGATGCATCCCGTCTGACTGCCTTATCTCTTCAGTAAAAATTAGCGTCCATGAATACAAGACCAAATGTTACAGAGATGGTGGATACCAGGGGTCATGGTACATAACGCTCGTTTGTAGAAATAATTAGTAATTTATTTTAAGTGAATTAAGAGCCAAAAGAAGAGAGGGTGGTACTTAAGGGCTGCTCTAATCTTTCATTCGATTTAAAGGTATTCACATTTGTAACGCATTCATCTGTCAGATAAACCTTGCTAATTCATATTGTACAACCTCATGTATATTTTGAATAGGGTGTTTTCACATGACGTGAACTCGCCATTTTGTTGTCAGAGAGAGTGAGTGAGAAAATGTTTTATTTATCCGAAGAGAAAAATAATAAAGAGGCGTGATGGGAAGCGTATACGCTTTTGTGCACTACCGATCTGAGGGTGTCACGTGAATGTTCAATATGGCAAATTGCTAGGCAATTGTACTTCATGCGTGAAACGTTCTAGCGTTACAAACGTTTATAGCACCATTTAGCAGCACGTCTAGCCTATTCAGCCAGACGTTTACGTTCACGGCACTGTTCATCAGATAATTTAACGCATGGCATGTGTACACTTGAAATGATAAACCTGGTGATCTTCCTGAACCTTCTAACCGACTCCTCTACCTCGTCGACTATCTCTTCTCCTCACTCCACCCCTGGTCACATGACCTCCCTGTTAACCCATCAGCGTCAAGCACCTCACTCCTCCTCTCCCACCCGTCACCCAATCAGTGTCGAGCACCTCACTTTTCTCCCACCCGCCAACCAATTAGTGTCGAGCCTCGCGGCCACGATTTTATCCGGGCTTCACTTTTGGGCTTCACGAAATGCCGAACACCTAGCCAAAGAACGTTTCACGTTAAAATGCTCGCTTTTAGCACGCGCCAAACAGCACATAACAACAAAATGGACAGAATTATGTCAGTGAAAACACCCTATATGCACTAATTCAGCCACTAATAGATTATGAACGAGAGGGTATCCCACTGCATTAGCTATATTGACCCTCAAGGTCGGTGCATGTAAAGAGAAAAAAAAAATCCAGACCGAAAAAAGAATGATGTGAGAATTACCCTTACCATAATACCTAGAAATGCTTACAAGTCTCTCTTCTGTCACAAGATGGGAGACCCGCACAAGATGCTCTTGACTTTTTTGAACAGGCCACCTGGAAAAAAAAATGAAACATTAAAAAAGCAACGGCATTCTGCTACTAACCCCCCCTTCCCCCTCCCTTCCCTCTCATCCCCCCTCCCCTCCCCCCCCCCCCCCCCCCCCCCCAAAAAAAAAAAAAAAGTACCCTTGCTTGAATTTTTTTATGAAGTGAGGCAATGTCATATACGTTCTTTAGTCTTTTGGCGATGCCTAATAACAGACTACGAGGAGAAACACGGAAAGGCAAATTGGAGATGACAAAAGAGCATCACAGTAGAAGCGATCTACACAAGGGAGCATTTATTGGTCAGCGTGTACACAGCTTGAAGTTTAGCCAACATAAGGCACTGCATTATTGCGTCATCTACCTGGATCCAGCGCGGGCAAAGCTTGGACACGAGCGCTGCGTCAACGTTCGACTCGGACTCGTGCTGACTGGATGTCTCTCTCACCAGAGACAAACCAGGAATTTATGAACTGAATGTAAGTACGCAAACGAGTTGGTGCATATTGAATGTGACATAAACCTCGAGACTGAAGGTAAAAACGACACGAACTCTGTCTGAAAGGTCTTCTGTGTTCCTGTGTTCCCGAGTCTCGAGTTTTTATTACCATGAATCACCACTAGCTCACTTGTTTTTTTAAGTATTGTTCCGTTTGTATCGTTTTAACCCGCAGTTTTGGGGTTTATGTCATGTTCAGAAATGTATGTTTGTTGACCACAACACCGACGGAAGTGAACAGTGACGATGAAAGTGGTTGGAACCCTTCTGGAAATGAGAAGCCCATTCCCACTGACAGCATGGTCAGGCTCAACGAGATGCAATGTGAAGTGTAACTCCCACGTGCACAACTTTGCACTTGCTCACTGATGCTCTCAGGAACCCCACGGAGAAGCTTCAATCTGGGAAACGGGGCATATATATGACTCAGGTGAAGCCAACTTTGGGGACATAAACCTTATGAGCACCGATGTGCATGATGTCACTAAGAGCCCCACTATGCAAATTGCTCATTGGTGCCATTAGAAACATTGCAGAGAAGCTGAAATCCCAGAAAAGGTGTATTTTTTTATGCAGGTAAAGTCAACTTTAAGGAGATCTCAAACCATCTCAGACTTCAAAGTTATGGCACTTTGTACCAAAAATGAGCAGATTAAGTGGACATCTTGAAGATTTGGTCTAGATCATTTTAATCTGATACAAAATTGCCTATGATTGTGGTTTAATTCTTTGGAGAAAAACACGGGTTTGCAAAACTTTCGTAACGAACAGGGTACTCACTGTGTATAAAGGGGCAGTTTTGAATGGAATTTGTTTTAACGAAAATTAATATATATATATATATGTATATATATATATATATATATATATATATATATATATATATATATATATATATATATATATATATATATATATATATATATATTAATTTTCGTTAAAACAAATTATATATCAATATATATATATATATATATTTATTTATTTATTTATTTATTTATTTATTTATTTATTTATTTCAGTTGAATGTGTAATTCAACGTATGGGCTCTGTTAGGAAGTGTGTGTCCAGAGCCTCAAATATGCTGAGTGGAGAGCAATTTAGAACAGTAACAATGCAGGGTGTCTAGCAAATTATAATTTTGAAAATCTCTGACTTTTTCAGGTTTTCCCTGACAATTTCAGGTGAAATTCTCTGACCACTGTAGAGGCGGTTAAATTTATAAGACCATTACAACACAAGGGATTGAGCATCGAGCACTGTGAAGATCATTTAGCACGGACTTAATCCAACTTGCACATTCCGAAATATTCGGGTTCGTCCAGTCTGGATTAAACTTTCTTGCCGCCGACATCGTGAGTGAAGAGGCCACTTCCGGAAACACGACGAAAACACGACGCTCCACCGCATACATCAATAACCGAATAGCAGCATGGCCGCCAGATGCACACTTTTCATATACTTTCGGCTTCACGCTTGGATTGGGGTCTGCGGCTTTCCAATTTGTTACTAAATCTAGTAGCTCTAACTGGATCAAGCGTAGTGTCGTGCCCTCAATCCAATTGAATCCAAAGCTTGGACTGGATTTGCCGGCTGTTCCCTTTGAATCGGGCAGCACACTCTACATTGGGTGAGCAGAGCTCGCGCTCCGCTCTAAGCAGAATTTAAAGCATAGTTGTCTGCCTCCAAGTTTTCTAGTCTTTGCTGAGGGCACTCAATGGCGTTTCCGGCTCATATTCCCAGACTGGGCTCGCTTTTTGACAATATCCCTGACAATTCCCTGGTTTTTCCCGGTAATTAAAATTTCCCTGACGATTCCCGGTTTTCCCGGTCGCTAGACACCCTGAGTAAAGGCGATGGCCTTGATTTGAATTTTAACATGCATCCATATTGCCCTTCAAATATCAAGCAAAAGATTCTAATCTAATATGTCTAGAAAATATATTTTGTGCTGAGTGGGTGTCCTCATTGATATTCATTGATTGTTGCTCAAGATAAACATAGCTGCTCATTCATACGTTCTCTCGATCATGCACATTCAATTTCACATCAAAATCTACTTACTTTGTCTCACTGTCAACATTCAGATTGGGGATTTCTAGTGAAATTGGTCACTGGACCTTTCTTCTATTTACCGGTATGCACATTAGTTGATGTATCAAAGTGAATAAGATTTCAGCTCAGTGGGGGGAAGGGGAGGGAGGGAGGGAGGGAGGGAGGGAGGAGCTTTCAACCCTGCAGCAGGGTTGAAAGCTGGGCTAGTTGGTACTGATTAATCATAGAATAAGAAGCGCACGAAAAACTAGGACAAAAAAGAGGACACGTATAACAGACAAGCGCTCACTCACAAATGGAAGTTTAGTCAGGCTTCAGAATAAAACGAAGAACTAGGACAAAAAAGAGGACACGTATAACAGACAAGCGCTCACTCACAAATGGAAGTTTAGTCAGGCTTCAGAATAAAACTAAGAATAGTCCCTTCCCCGGCTGCACACGAGCCGTTCAATAGCCCCCCCCCCCCCCCCTCCCCTCCCCCTGGTTGTAATCTAAAAGCGCGTAGCACTGTCGCCGATAAGAATGCTTCTTCAGCGTCTGTCAAAGCACGCAAGTGACGGGTGGCTTATGCAGCCATCACCCGAATTTTTTATACTGAATGCCTCCAAGACCTCCCGCGCTCTCTGCTCTTTATATCGTCCTAAAATATTTGTACTTTCACCTACACCTGGTGCAGTGGACTGCTGAATGGCCAGATGGAGTCGTACGAAGAGAGTTGGAGTGCTCCCTGTCTATCATTACTGCAGCGTCCCGTTTGGCCCACATAAGCCTTACCACAAGACAACGGAATGCAGCATACAACACCCAAACGGCAGTAGACAAAACGATTTACATGTTTCTTCCCACATGAAAAAACGCCCTTTTCCTATCCTGACAGGCGGACCTTCTTGCACAACTGTAGCAATTTACTAGGAGCGCTGAAAACAACTGGCACATCATACCGCACAGCGACGTTTTTAACATTGTGGTATACGTGCACACCGTGGAGGTACGGAAGCACTACGGGCCTAACAAATCTCTTCCGTGGCACCCGCTTACATGGCCACTTCAGACTTCTTAGAAAAACTCCCGACACCTCCTTTAGAACCCGTGAAGGAAAACCTGCCTCTTTTAATCGTTTCACCTGGTCGTTAAAACTTTTTTTCCCACGCCGTGGTGGCATGACTTGTTCAATGCCGATCCGAGGCAAGACGCTGCGATGCCTCTTTTTACGAGTTTTGAGTAGGTAGACTCAAAAGGTAGGAGGCCTTTCTTTGAACGGGGACTCTATGACCAACACGGGCGGGGTTTCGCATCAAGGTCTAAAAATTGCAGACGACCGTCAGAAGGGGGTTCGAAAGCAAATTTTAGTCCCCTTCCCACGTTTCTGAAAACGGACTTCACACGTTCAATGGCATCATAGGCTTCGACAAAAATCAAGAAATCGTCCACATATCTAAACACCCTTTTTGCACACCCCCTTTGCAGAGAGCCTTCGAGAGAAACGTCAAGCTGGCCAAGAAAAATGTCGCTCAAAACCGGAGCTACACACGAACCAATAAAGATGCCATTCCGTTGCACAAAAATTCACCCTTCCCACTCGACCAGCATGGACTTCAAATAGAAATTAAGTAGCTGCAGTGGAGTAAAGTGTGTGTGTGTGTGTGTGGGGGGGGGGGGGGGGTGCTAATTAACCAGCATGGACTTCAAGTAAAAATGAAGTAGCTGCAGTGGAGAAAAGTGTGTGTGTGGGGGGGGGGGGGTGCTAATTAACCAGCATGGACTTCAGTAGAAATGAAGTAGTTTCAGCGGAGAAAAAAAAAAAAGGGAGGGGGGGGGGGGAGGCTAATGAAAGAGTGCCGCCATTACGAAAAACTGGCGCTGGGGCCATTACCCCAGCCCCTGTTCTCACGCCTGCAAGGAGGTATTCCCCGTACCGACATCACTGACTTCTTTTCTTTTTTCTTTTTTTCCTGCACAGGATCGAGGGTTAAAAGGACAATAGCAAAAGCGCTTGCATAAGAACTCTCCCCACCACGAATACAAGCGCGCTATACTCCAAGGCACCATTTGGAGTCCGCAAAGGCATTCTAGGGGTTCGCTAAAACCTGTCTCATCAGTCAAGACGGCAAGAAAAGTTGTCTTTGTTCTTAGATTGAGAAGAAACGTTCCGATTTTCGGGTGAGTTTTCTCGTGTGTATGTCAATGAGAGAAGTTTAGTTCAAACTATAGCCCTTAGTTATATCCATTTATTAAATCATTATCATAATTAACCTATACCTTTCCCTCCATCGTCTCCGCCAATCCACAAGTTTGGGTCCGCGAAACATCAGTGGTTGAAAACCATTGCCCCAAGGGACGAGCCGATATCGCTCTCCGTGAAAAGAAACGCTTATCGCGTCAAAGAGCATCGCGAATAGCGCTCAGCTCCCGCGTAAACTCCCCGTCCGACTCTGAGCCACGCATTACGCAATCA